AAACAGCAAAACAATATTTTCGTGGGTGGGATAAAGAATCCCAGGTGGGATATGGAAATCCCGACCAGGATCCCGGCTAGAATGCATAAGTCCCACCTAAGATCCCGGGTGGGATGCAGGAATCCCTCATTAAATACGGGATCCCAGGTGGGATCAAATTTTCATCCCAGATGGGAAAGGTGGGATCCCACCACCTAAGGCGGGATCCCGCCATTCCCACCTGGGATCCTGGGTGGGATGCAGGAATCCCGCATTAAATACGGGATCCCAGGTGGGATCAAATTTTCATCCCAGGTGGGAAAGGTGGGATCCCACCACCTAGGGCGGGATCCCGCCATTCCCACCTGGGATCCTGGGTGGGATTGCCGGGATCCCGCCTATATCCCGCCTAACATTTTACCTGGGTATGTATTGTAAACTGCTTTGTGAAAATAGTTGAATATCATCATGCCAAAAGGGTTGAAAAATCGGTAGGAGTTTTATTTTGTGGTTTGGCATACTTTTCTGATTTTTAGGATAAGTGTTTGTGCTTCAAAGTGAGTTAAATTTCTGCTGGGAACAAATAATAATAATTACAATGTTATTTAATTTTTAAGTAGCAGAACATTAACAAGAAAACTACATAAAGCTGGAAACAGCACACTCTGCATCTTATACCCCAGTGTATTCACACCAGAAAACATGTTTAGTTTAACCAGATATCACTAAATGAAAATCAGAAACAGGGAACTGAAGAAATGAAAAAGGCACCATGACTTAAATTAATGCAAGAGTGAAATCCAAAAAGTAGACAGAAATCAGGGGCTGTTTTGTATCTGTGAAATTTAGATCAATGCTGATTTCAGTACAATATGTATGTTTTAGTGCACAGATGTGTTGATTTTCACGTGCTCAAAGGCACCAAGCCTTAAATATGTACATAGAAATTACACCAGATAACAAGCTTGCTACAAAAATATGCAACAGATATTAATCACAGTTACTTACAGGGCTTAACACTATACAGGTTTCACCTCCTTGGTTCCATTGTAATGATGAGTTGAAGTACAGCTGCACCATTTGGCATTTGGGGCTTAGATGAATGACAGTCACAGTGATACTTTGATTACAATTGTCTTTGTGTAATTTGTGCTATTTGTTTATTGAAATCTAACAGGACGTGCTGAGGAAATGCAACAGGAGTCCCAAGGCAAAAGGCCTTCAGCTCAAAAGCGAGTGGCTGGTAAATACTCACTTGTCTATTTTTCAAACATGCTGCAATGTTATGAACAAACTGCATCTTTCAATAATGAGCAGGTACAAAACATTTCATCGAAATCAATATACCAATATATTTTTGGGACATTTTTTGAATATTGAAGAAAACAATTCCTGGACAATACAATGTCATAGTTATGAAATTTTCCAAGTGAATGCTCTGATAGGGGTACTTCCATTTTCTGACTGACCCTGCATGAGGATCCATGCATCAAATGTAGATTTTTCTCACTTATTAGGGAACTGATGAAAAGGTGACTTGCTCTTGAAATAAAGGAACTGTGTAACTTTACATTCATCAGAAATCTGTGGATTTCATTTATTGTTATTTGTCAACCAGATTGCTTTCACATCAGTTCCAGAGAAATGTTTATATCATTTTAGGCATTTTTGTCATAAGGTGATTAGCAAACTAATTTATTACTTACCATTTTAAGGGACAAAATCCATGATGATGATTATTACCGTATTTAAATTCTTCTGTGGGACATTACACCAAAGCAATCATTTCTGCTTTAGACTGAGCAGGGCTTAAAGCTGCAACCGTTTTGGTTGCTATGGCAACCGGCCAATTTCGCCATTGATTATCTTGCATTCGCTGGTTCTGTATAGTATGTATTAGCCAGCTGTAATATTCTTTAAAAGAGAGATAAATAATTGTCACCCTCTCAAAAGCATACAGAGGGTACTAAAGACTTTTTATTTGCCAGTTTTTTTAATTCCTGGAAACAGAGAAAAGGTTTAAGTTGATGCAATTGATTCAATTAATTGTCAGAAGAGAATTATTATCTAACAGAAAATAATAATGCTTGGGTGCCTTCTTAACTGGAACAGCACTGGTAATTTTTAAACATATTTATCTCAGAAGCAGTTGGGTAGTTATAGTAAGGTTGCATGAACCTGAAACAGGCATGTTTCTTTTAATTGTGAAAGTTTATACAATGAACTATTAGATTTTAGTAATTATATAAATAATAAGTTTGGAAGTTATACAGTATTAAACAATAATTAACATAATTATAACAAATTACTATTTTGATGGTTATCATGCTAATGGAGAATACAAATGACTTAGGCCACCACTTAACTGTGTTAGCAAAAATACATTTATTTACTGTTGACCAGAAGAGCCTCTTGATTTTAGCCAATGGCAGTTACTGGGTAAATTTATTTTATTAGATCAAAAAATATCACTTATTGTCAGAGCTTGATATTCCAGGATCCATATTTTAGCCTGCAGAAGAGATTTAAATTCTTTTGCCTTTTTCAGTAGAATTGAGGCAACCATGGGGCAAGCATGAAGTCAAGGGCTGGAGTTATTATTTGCACTCCTACCCAGTGCGTGACTTGTGCTCACCTAGCACTTTATAATGTCCATTTGCCTGAAAAATGCAACAAATTATGCCAGCTCTGCTAGCTAAAACTCTTGAAATTTAGTTCATGAGACAAACTAATTAGGAGGAAGAAATGTAAGCACAAAAATGAAGTATTACATTCTTACCCTAACCTTTTCATCTCTCTTACTTTGTTCCGCTGAAGTTAAGCAAAAGGAGAAAAGTGGCTTAGCTACCAAAAAACCTAAACTTGATCCTACTGGTGAACCTGGAACTTCTGGGGTATCCAGCACTAGGAAGACAAGGAAGTTTAAGGGTAAGGACCAAAGGAAAATTACATTTTAAGCTGATTAATTATCCAGTAACATAATATTTTAAGGATCAGTCATGAAAAATTTCTTTGCAGAGTTGAAGAACCTTCAAACTCTCTCCCAAAGTAGTTTTTTTCTGTGATGAATTGTTACTAACTCACAATCAGTTATACCCCCACTAGCTGTGACAACAAACGTGAACTCTGATCAGTTCCATTCAACATATCATACCTGATAATATGAGGGATGTGTGTGTGGATATCTATTTGTATAGTTATAAAATTGACTAGTCTCCTCCAACAGGGCTCATCTCAGGACCAATATGAAAAATCTGGTTCCAAACATTGTAAATAACCTTACCTGCATGGGTTTGTCAATCAGAGGAAAATCAAAAAGGCCAATCAGGATTTAATTAGGGAAAATGTGATTTTCCTGGGCATTGGCACCAACCTTTAATCACTGATGTGATGATGAATTTTTTTAAAAAAGGAAAACTAGGATAAAGAAATTCATAAATCAGTTTATATTAGCTAAACTAAGTCTTTCTATGATTATGATTCAAATTCTCCAGTGGGAGCATTACTCCAGAGTAATCATTTGTGGTTTTTAGTAAGCAGGGCTTTAAGTTGCAACTAGCTGTTTTGGTTGCCATAGCAATTGGCGTATTTGGTCATCTTTGGTTATCTTGTGTTTGCTGGTTGTGCATTGCATGATGCTAGCCAGCTGTAACATTCTTTAAAAGAGAGATAAACAATTTTGCATTGTACAATGCTTATTGAAATACTAGCCAGTTTATAATTGCCACATAGTACTATTCTCTCAAAGGCATAAGTGGTATGGTCAGCACTAGTCAGGGAAAACTAGGATCTAAAAGGAAAACTAGACATTCATAAATCAGTTTAAATTGGTTGAACTAAGTTTTCTGTTTCCCTCTTTTTCCTAGAAAGTGTTACATATTGCAGTTATTACATAGAAATAAAGACAATTAACCACACGAGAAAATTAATTAAACGAAGAGCTCTACTTAAGATATGTCTGCATGCAGTTTATTAGACTTCAATCAGCCACTTTATCATGAGTGTCTCAGGTGCATAGCTAGCATTCACTCTTATGTGGTTAATGAGGGCAAGTTTGACTTAACTATGGATGCCTTTGGAAAGTGATATGAATATGTGCATGAGTAAAACACCTGTTTAGAGACTCTGGGGAATTGCAGCTTCAAAGAAATCTTTGGCTCACTTAGTTTGGTGCCTCAGAGGACTCCTGTTTGAGGGATCTGTGTTTCAACCCTGGGTAGGTCATTTAGAGTTAAACCTTTAATCCCTGAGAGTGACCAGCATCTAATTTCTCCTTACAGTAATACGGCTGAATCATTTATGAAGATCATGAGAATAAAGGAAACGATCACCACCAAAGAAGCTTTGATTGTTAAACAAATTCTCCTTGTCAGTACCAGAAGAAATCTGAAGAGCAGAGTATGGAGAATGTGGATACTATTGTTTGGGTGTAAAGGGTTGAATGTTCTTTAGTGAGACTGACTTTACTCTCACACAGTGCCTCTCTTCACCCAGGAGTATAAATGGGTACTGATGAACTGTCAGAAAACCTGATCAAATGTTGAAGGGAGGGGAGGGGGTGGTTAATTGTAATCGATTTGCATCTCTCCACAAGACTTAGTCACACGTACTTGCTCCATGTAAGCCAGGGTAAACCGCTGCAGTATTGTAAAATTTATCACTGTAAAAGACATTTCGAAATTAAGGCATGTGTTGATATTCTTAAACATGTTGCCCTGCTGTATTAACTATCGATAGAATGCACTTTTCATTTACTTTATATTCATTTTTTCAGTGGTAGTGAAAAAAGGCAATCCCAAAAGTGATGAATTAGAACAAATGGCCAATGACATTGATCCTAGTGATTGGAAGAAAGTTGCAAGAAAGTTAAAGATCCATGGTCCAAAGATCACAGCCATACATAAGGAAAATGAGGAGTTTTATGAAAAGATATACCAAATGCTGCTTAAATGGAAGGAGGCAAATGGAAGTGCTGCTACATGGAAGAAACTATATAAGGCTTTAATAGATGCTGATCTCAAAGAGTTAGCAGAGAAGCACTGCTGTAAAAAAACTAATTGAAAGAGAACATCTGTCAGGAGCAGTGTTCCACCAAACACTGTGCATAAGATATTTCTTAGCTAAAAATTGTTACGCTCAGGTAAAAATGTTGCTCCTGATTTTTAAAAGTATTTGTTAGTTAGCCAGGTGATAACCGATGGGATCGGTCCTTCCCTAACTGCACAACTTTTTTTTATACAGATGTTTGTGACTTTTATAGTTATGAAACTTGGAAAAGATAGAAGTTTATGTTACCTGTGCAAGCCTTCCTTTTTTTGAGTGTGCATTATATTATCTAAAATTATTTCCAGCGCTAGATATCTTGTACAAATATCCTACAGTTAAACTTCTTCAAAAGCTTTGTAAATAGTATTTAAGTCTTGTAATTATTTACTAATCTATGAAGTCATTTTTTTTTTTTACACAGTACTTTCTGGCACTTAGGTTTGACTTTGTCAGTTTAATTAGCTTTTGTTTGATTAAATCATACGATGATTTTTAATTTTCATTGTCTTGTTGGCAGTAGATATAATCCAGTTAAACAGATCTTCTCACTCATAATCTGGGCAAATAAGTCCGCAACGATCTAGGTATGATATTATGGCGCGCACGTTTCGCAAATTCGTATGACAACTGCCTTTAAATAACTTAAAGAAAACTTTTTAGGGGAAGCTTGTGATAAAGACAGAAACTTGGTTTCACCGACAAGACGAACAGACAAGCTTAAGTCAACTAAACTAACTTTCACGCGCAAAACAATTTAGGAACGTAAACATCGCACGCGTCACGTGCCATTGCAGGTGTAATGCTAAAAGTATGCACTCCCCAACCAGGCAAGGCTCAGATGCCCCACCCCCTTGGGAACGGATGACGGTCGAATTCCCGTAGGTTGCCCGGGAGGATGTTTAAGTTTTGAATCGATCGGTGTATTAGATCCTCAACTGAATATTTAGTAAATTAACTTGTAGGGGCCTCAGAGCCAGTTTTTCAACTTGTTGTGAGCCTGTTACCCAAGAAAGTTCAATTTTTGTTTCAAAATTTGCAAGTCATGTCATCAAAGTCACGCGGGCGGAAAAATTTATGTTGGTCCTGATCTACTGGTTACTCCTAAGGAGAGATATTACCTAGCAATAGTATTTTTTTTTAAGTGGGCGTTGCTTTAGGTTTCACTTTAAAATAGTTTGTGAATAGTTATAGAGATCTATGGTTTAAATGTTTCAAGGAAGTTATTAAATAAATCTTAGATAGTCATCATTTTCGTAATAACATTGTACAAAACATCATCTTATTGTTATACTAAGCATCACTTAAGCTTACTAGGTATTTTTAGTTGTATTCTTAATTTTTTTCACTTCAAATTAAAACAGTGGTTTTACAGAACACGCGTTTGAACGTCCTTTTACGTGTCTGTGACCATACAGTGCGTGCAGCCTTGCTTAATGATTGTAAGAGCCCATTTGGAGTAGAAGGGGCGTCCAAAGTTTTTTCTCTCGGTGTGATTTCGAAACCTTTGAAATCAAACCTATAGATTCCTTGATAGCCCGCGTGGCTTAAGGGGTTTTTCTTCTGATTGCTTTGTTTTTGTTTTGCTTTGTTTTTTTAAGGTTTTATGAGAGCTGCGAACTTCAGTTACAGGTCTGGAGGAACTACGTATTTTTCGCCCAGGCCCCACGCGGCCTTTAGTTCACTCTTCTCGATAGAGACGACATTGTCGGATTTAAAGAAGAAAGACCATTTTGTTTGAGAAATTATTGTAAATTATAGTGCCTTTTACAATTATCGCTTTTTTCATTCTAAATAAGCTCTGAAAGTACGCGGTTGCTTAAAAAGGAACGCATCAGCGAGGATCACTGCGTTATTTGACTTTCATCCCTAGGTCCAATAGAATTTATTTCAGTTAGAATTGTGAAATATTCATGCGTAGTCCTTGTTTAAAAACAGAGACTATTTCAGAGACATGGGAAAAAACAAAAAAATCAACACTTATCTCATAAAATGCTGGAAATCACCTTTCTGAGGACCTGAATATTAACATTTTCTGGGGGGAGGGGGCATGCACCACTCACCTCTTAGGATGGTCAGAACATTCTTGAAGGTCACACTGCAATGAGATTGATTACCAGGCTGCTGATATAACATTTTAATTCTCAGTTTCGGTCAGGTACCATTCTGGAGAGGGTCCATTCATATCTTAGGCATATGTTCCGAAAATTTACCGCGCTTTTTTTCTTGATTTTTTTGTTTTTAAATTGATAGCACTGTGTCTCATGGGATCGATATGCTAACAATAATAAGTCATCGTTCCGCTACTTAAGCACGTCACTGAAGCTCTCAGGTTAATTAAGGCCTGGGTCACCCTGCCTTTAACCCATATTTTTCACAAAATTGAGAATAACTTAGCTATTTTGCGAGGGATTTTTCTCATACTTGGCAGAAATGTTTATCACTACTATCTCTCTCGGACTGATTTGTGGCACGTTCCTATTTATTTGAAAAAAGACAAATTAAAACTGTCTAAGAGGTGGGAATTTTGAAAACTCGCAGTCACGTATTCAACTTAGTGTCCGCCATTTTGACACGCGAGTGCTCAGAAGCAATAATTGAACGGCTGATACACTACCAAATACTACTTGGAGCAATCTTAGAAGTAATATAGGCAAACTTTGTATTCTTTTGATGATATTTATTTCGTTTTCTCGTTTTCTGAGGTCGATTGCATCTCTGTAAATCCAGGGTTCCCGCCAGCTTCTCGTCTCTTAACTTGCAAATTTGGGCGGTAAGAATAAAGAACGTTTGTAATTTTATCCCAAGTAGTATCATATAACGAGACTGAATTACAATTTTGGCGCAAAACTTGAAAGTTATCGCGAGATACGCACACTGATTCCTTAAAGCTCTTCAAGGTTTTGTTCCCTAACAACGGTACTACTCGATAACGAGCTAAGTGTATTCGTGTGAAACGAAAATGTCTGTCATTTTTAATTGTGGATTTGCAAGAGTTGCTATAAAGGAGAGCTTTCGTAAGGTTGGAAGTGCTTCGGTTGAAACTGACCCTTGTGAAAAGTGGAAGAACTATCTTACAGCTTTCGAGGGTGACAGTCAGGAAGTCTTTGCGGTCGAAAGTTCCACCTACGTCAAG